AAATCAAAAGAAGAGCCAAAGGCGTTTCTATTCCCAATTTATAAAATGTTAAAAAAATTAAAATAAAAAAATTCTAAAAAATGCTGAATATTGACTAGGATTAAAGGAAATCAATAAAGGATAAAAGGGCAGACAACGTGCTGTTTCATAAAAAGGCAGGTTATCTACTTAATTCATGCAAGAACTCACTATATGATGAAGCTTAAGGGGGCAAGGGAGAAAATGCAGCCAATGCAAACAAGTTGAAGCAAGTAAATTAGGGCACTCATTACTTAAATAATCAGCCTAGTGGCTAAACGCAGATTTTATAATTATTTATGCTTTCACAAGTTCCTTGGTGGGTTAATGTTAGTTGAGCTCTATACTTGAGTGCCTTGTATAGCAAGGGGTTGTGCTTTGCTCTGGTGATGATGAGGGCTCACCTCTGAATAGGATAAATAGGGATTAAGTTGATTCAATCTGTCTGGCAGCCACAACATCAAGATCCTTAAGTATACCAGGTTCAAAGAACCACTTGAGGTCTCCAAGCACAAAAAGTTCTTAAAATACTTAGTGCAAATGTCTTTGATCAGCTGAGGGAATTAAAAAGTATGTAAATAGTATCTTCTTAGTTATATTCTCATCCAGGAACCTTCAACCTCTTCCTCCCAATCCAATGTGAAAGCCTTTGCTTTTATGACTAACATTCAACTAAAGATAGTTTTCAAATGAAGGACTACTATACAGAACTTTCAAAGCTAATTTTTCATATGCTGTGGAAGTATGAAAATAAAGCAATGAAATTTTGTGTACTATGTATTTTGTTTGTCCTTGAAAGGAAAATGTCTCATACGGGTAACATTAAACATTTTGACTTTATGACTATGGGTTTGATTCAATGCCTGTTAAGTTAGAGGAAAGAAGTGGTGGGTACCGGAGCAGGCTGTTTGAAGTCAGAGAAAATGTTTCAAATGTTTGTGTGTTACAGTTTATAATTTATTGTGCTCATTTATAGTATTTCATTTCAACCCCCTAGGTGGCCTGATGAGTGGGGACCTCACAACCGGTGCAGGCACCAGTGCAGGTAAAGAGAAAAGAATTTACATTTATTTTTCTAAGTGAATAAAGGACTTCCTTCAAAGGTGGAGTCCTAAAATAGCTTCCTATTGGAGGTGGGATATTAGAAACTGACAGGCATGGGTTTAATTCCTCTAGATGGGTTGTGGGGAGTTGATACCTGTGCTTTTCCTAATAGCAACAACAGTGTCAAAAATCTTGCACCTCAACAAATTCCACAGGAACAAATGTCTGGTCTCCTTCACATCAGCCATTCTGTAAAAACCTCTGGGTCCATTGCACAGCTCTGTTGGGGCAAAACTCCCACTGGAGTCAGTGTCAGAAGCTCAGATGCTTTTTAAGTCACCAGGAGTTTTTCTATTGACTTTAGTGGAACTGGAGTTTAATTTTATGAGTTTAAGCTTGAGTAAAGATTTCAATATTGAGTCACTCATTGGACTTCAATGTACTAAGCACAGATTTGATTTCAAGCCCCTGCTCTAAGATCATTCTTAGTAGGCAAAATGTGTTAGCACTTACTTAAATAATCAGTAATTAACTTAAGCTTAGTTTTATGTATTTGCTTAAGTGTTTTTATACACAACAGGGAAAGCATTTTCAAAATATCCAGGGAGAAAAAAAGATTAGCCCGTTTAGTCCGAGAACTAACGAGAGCTGTACTTTCAAAGGTCCACGTTAACAAACAAAGCGATGTTGTCAGAGTAGTTCCCTTTGCTCAGTAAACTCAGTGGTTTGTTAGCAATGTCAGCAATGTTGCATTATGACAAAAAACAATGGCAAGATTACTTGTGCAGTTTGAGAAGTAAACACATATGTTCAAAGAAAACAAGCTGAGTGGCAAAACATGGAGCACATCCAATTTTACTGGGTTAACTGCTCTCAGAGAGCTATGTGGAAAAGTAATTAGAAGATACATTTTGTGCACTATAAATGAAGACTGATATATGTGGCAATTCCAACATTGTCTTTTAAAATTACTTATTAAGAAATTTTGGATATAGTGATTTTTCTCTCTCTTAGTCCTCCACAGCCTGCATTAGGACACACACACACCCTTTTATCTTCATGCATAGATAAGTAACATGTTTGCATGATGCGTTTGTAGTAAAATTGAAACTGCATAGCACTGTATCAGAAAGGCACTTTAAATGCATGATAAAGCTTTGAGGGGTCATTTTATATTAATTTAGGAGTAGGCAAGGTGACCACAGGAACTTTGCTCTTCGTCTCCTTTGTTCTCAAAAAAAAGAGAAAGCATGATAGAAAATTACAGTTTTCTTCATTATCTCTCGTTAGCCTGCAAAACACAGATAAAGGAAGAATCTTTCTGACAGTGTTCGCATTTCATCCTACTTATAAGCTCGGATAGAAACTTCAGGAACAACGATGGGACTGGGATAGGAATTGATCACCCTATTAAGGGGCTCCCTCTCCTGGCTCGTTTAGAAGTATCATTGCCTCATTATTAGTCTGCCATTCCTTTAAACAGATGCTGGAAAGCAGTTAGTCAAAGCACTGTTTTCTTTCAAAAGAGGTGCATGCTAAAATTAGAGTTCAACTACACATGCATTTGTCTTAATAATCCTTGTGCTTAATAAAATCTGTATATCAATACACCAGCTGAAGATTTATATTCCTTGTAAATAATTTTTTTCCCTTGGAAATGTATTAAAAACATATATAAGCATAGGAAGACAGATAGATTGATTATTTACCCACACGCTAAGGATTTGTATTTCCGGTGCACAGTGTTATGCATTAAGCTCTCAAGCAGTGTAACTTTGGAGTAGGCAATTGATTTGAGGGGCGTATATGAGAGGGACATTGCTAGGAATGCATCATAAATATTTAATCATGTGAATAGTCTTTGTTCTTTATCTGGCAATAAGAGCTTTAAACACCATTAAAGAAGTGTTTTCTAAATCTTTTCAGTGCAGAACAGTAGGAAGAATTTGATACAGGGCTGAAGGAAGATGAAAAGGTCACTCTAAGGTTGAATCCTCTTAGTTGCATCATTCCACAATGTCACTGTTTTGGACAGTCCTCTTTCTTTAGGGTGCAGAAGAATAAGCTTCAAAAGTTCTCTTTGTTCATCATTTTTTCACAAGAAACAGAGATCTCTGTGTTTTCTTCTGTTTGGCATCTTAGAAGCTGGTAGCATGATCTTGTGGTTTAATCTGTTGGGTTCATATTTCTGGCCAAATTGGAACATTATGAATTTGCATTTTTCTGCAGTGTCCAAAAATAGCATATATTCAAAATAATATACTCCAAGAAGAAGAGTCTAAACAGTTTCATTTCTGCCATTATAAAATGAAACTACTAACACCCGGCCTCAGTTTCTGTATGACTTCAACAAATTCTATTACAACAAATTTCATTATGACCGCAATATCAGAAATGGAAAAAGATTAGTTAAGCCTGTGTTTTGAGAAGTATATTATTTCATTGGTTTGGATTATTTCAAGCAATAACACTAGAATCATCCATAGTTCACCTTGGGAGACAACCCAGGTCATAAATAGAACCTTTAAAAAGCTGACTACTTTATTATCTTACACAACTAATTACCATCACTAGTATTTTTAAGTTAAACCAAGGTTATTTCAGGTTTGTTAGAGTAAATATGTTCTTGGCCAAACACTGATTGAATAGTTTCTGTCATTTGATAATAGCAACTGCCAACAAAATCAGAGTGAATTTCACATTTAGTACCATTGCTAAATTATAAATACAACAAAGTCTTTGGCATTATTCTCTCAAACCAGAGAGTTTTGATTGATAGAGAGAACAAGAACATTTTGGACCCAAATTGGCATGCTCTAAACCCCTTCTAGCTTACCCTGTAACTATTATGAAGACTAAAGATATGGTACCTATTTACATTACAGGTTGCATGAAGTTCTTTTAATTTTTACAGAGTGTAGTCTTTAACAAAACCACTTAACAGTAACTTGACCAGAAATAAATAGTGTCTATGAAGTTTTAGTGCTGTAAATTATCTGAACTCAATTTTTATTTAGTGACTCATTATTTATGTTGAATTTTAGATAAAAGATTAAAACTTTTAAAATATTTCAAAAGTTTTAAAGTAGAGCAGTATCTTTATTTGCATCTGTACTTCAAGCTTTGATTTTCAAGCTGTGTTGTTTTTAGATTGAGTTCTCTTTTTCATTTTTATATGGTTTTCAGATTAAGACATTTTGTATTTTATAACTTTTTCATTTGAATGGAATGAGCCCATATATATAAACAGGATTTCTATATGCTTAAAACACCTGTAAAAATTACAATCAAAGGAAAAATTCCATCTCAAGTTTTAAATACAGGATGGTATAATAAAAGATATACTTGTTTTAATTGCTCATTTCTGTAATTTCTTTGTTTCCATATTTGATTTCTGTACTGCCTCCATGTTAGCAATAATATTAAACTAAAGGAGCAAGTTATTCAATAGTACTTGGGGCTCTACAAATGCTGCCAGAGGAACTAAGAGCTTGCTGGTTTTGAATCCAGCATCTCTAAACTACCTTTAAACCTGTTCTTAAAAATCATTAGAATCTGCGAAGATCAGCAGTGGATTCTAAAAAACTCATCCCATGTCTTTTTAATAACTTAATCCTGTATTTACCTATAAATTAGCAGCTGTTCATTTCCTTCTGGAAGTTAGCCACAAGCTAACAATTGCCTTCTCATCTTTTGAGGACTGAGATCCTGAAGTGTCAACCAGTATCATAATTTTCTTGTGCTTTCCTTCTCTTTTTTATTTTTCTTTGTCATGTACTGACTGTGGGTGAAGATAGTATATGTTCTACTAGTATTTCAAGCCACATAGGAATATATATAATAGTAGTGGGTTTTAATTTATAAGCCATAGGGATAAAGGTAGTCTTCTCAAAAAAGAGTGGTTTATTAAAAAGAAGCAATCTGTCCAAATAAACCAACCAGCAGCACCAAAAATAAGGAAGGGTTTCAAAGGCATCTAGTTGTATTAATGTCTTTTGAAACTACAAATATAAATAAGCAAACTAATATTAAAAAATATAAAAAATTAAAAGATCGCATAAATATTCTCCACTGTGCCCTGAAATCATTCTTTGCATACTCAAGATAATTCTTGGGCTACACATGTGGAATATGTTAAACAAGTGAGCTTGTAACAGTGATTCACAAACCACAATTTATAGGCAACCTCTTAGGACCAGGTTTGCCAGGGAGAGCGTAAGTTATTACCCTTCGCTTATTACTTGGTGAGTGCAGTAGCCCACAGACCTCTGATCCAAGGAGTGGGCAAAATGTGGTACAGAAGTATAGTAAACAATAGTTCCTGTCCAAGGACATCTACAGTCCAAAAGAAAGAACACGCAGTCATTCATAACAGAGTTTGTGATGCAATAGTGCTAAATCCAAACAATAAGAATTCATAAATTGGCAGGTTGACTTAAAACCATGGAGGGGGATAAGAAATGAAAAACTAACAGCTCTCTTAGTCTCTTTTTCCACTTGTATTATGCCATTAAGTGTTCCTTTTCCAAGTTTTCCTCCATATAAGGGCGATACATATATATATATATATGTATATTTATACACTCTTCTTTTTCTTCAGTGTTTCTTCGTTGTTTTAAGGGGAGTACCTACAGCTGGGAGATTTTGTTAAAGTGGGAAAAACACTAGAAACTGTTTGACAGGTCTAATACACACTATGAAGGAAATCGTCTAGCAAACAGTACCTGAATTTCGTATCTATGTAGGCAGTCAACACAAGCTTTTCCAAATTTAACTCCTATTTATGCCCTAAGCAGCTGATCTGTTTCATACAGCTTATTCAGGTTCTTTTGATTCATCTGAAAATCACATCAATGAAACCGTGAGAATCAGTCTGAAAGGATAGATGCTGCTGTCCATATAAAAATGAAAAATAATCTTGCAATGGGTGTCATATGCAAAGGCTGAATGTGTGTATCTTTAGTTAACTCACATGACCTCTTTCCAATAAAGAGATCCACA